CACACACACACACACACACACACACACACACACCAACAGAATTAAATAACAATTTATTATCATTGCTAATAATAACAGTACATACACTTACGCCCCTTTAATTTTTAGTTACACTGTGTTCCCAGCCATTCTCACTGCCCTTGTATTTCCAGAACCCAGGAGGGTTGGATGGAATCAACAGTGGGGAAGGTCCCAGCACAGCCACTGATAGTAGGGGACAAAGTGATGTGCCTATGGAGTCACTCGGAGGCCATTCACACCCATGGTGAGCTTGGCTGAGTGCTGAGATGACAGAAGGGGTGCGGGGGGAGGAGTGACCCTCATGTGATGCTGGTGTCATATACCAGGTTATTTTAGGATGGGGCTTAGGAGAGCGCAGCAAGCTATGCTCCTCCTGAAATACAGTATTTGTTCAGGTTCAGCCAGTTACAAGTTTCCAGGGAAGAAAGGCTGCCCCAGCATCTCACAGGATTTAAGAATGAGATGAGAGAAGACCAGGTCTGTTTTTCTGTGCACCAGGAGACCCACCCCCCTCCCAGGCTGCTATCTGCCCCCACCCCCACCTACCCAGGCTTCTGCTGAAATGCCCAGGGAATTCAGAGAACAATCTTATTCTGTCTGAGCTTTGCCTCTTTTTTCCCTCTGCTTCTTTTGTTTTGTTTTTGGCCATTTATCCTTTGATGATCACGCTAAAACTACAGCTAGCTGCCATTTGGCTTGGCCTTGTGCTGGTCGAGCAGACACTGAGGGAGAATGGACACTTTTGAAAGCATACTGCTAGGGCTCCAGTAAAATGTCCCTCTGTTTGCCCACATGGGCATCAGGCCTCAGCAAATAGAAGCAGAGGAGAACAATACTACCTGTTCATGGAGGAACAGGGATGGTTTCAGTCCTTCAAACAATAAGCTCTGTAATTTACTCCATCTTCCTCCTGAGAAAGGGCTTCACATGGCCCGTATCGTGCCAGGTGGTTTGGAGAAAGACGAACTGCGCCTTCAAACAAGGGACACTTCAGCGCAGGGTGTTAAGATTCAGCAGCTGGGCTGGTCTCGGGCTGGTCTCCCAGTGACATGGCCCCAGCCAGCCTTTCCACACCAAGATAAGCATCACTGTTCTATTCAGCCTCAACAATTCCCACACCCGGGGCAACAAGATTTTCCAGCCCTCTTGTGCTGGAGTAGGCCTCCCCAGGCCTGAGGATACTGTGTTTATCCACCCATTCACCCAGAGCTGGGAGTTTAGACTTGCTCTCTAACCAAGCCCTGAGTCTAAACTGTTTTCTAATAGCAAGACTTACTGGGCCTTAAAAGGAAGCAACTTCCAACAGGAAGTGTGCCAGGAAACTGGAGCTTCATGCTCACCACACAGTTTTGAAAATATCTGGGTGTGGAGGGGTAAAAGTCAAGAGATATGCTTTTCCCCTGAAGAACACGCAGGGAATCAGTACCTGCCCAAGCACAGAGGGAACGCAAAAATTTTTAAGCCCAACTACTATAGCCTTGAAATAAATACAAAAAGATTAGGAGCCAATCAATTGTTTGAAAGACATGCTGACTCATGCCTCTCACTGGAGTGATAATCCCATTCACCTGGGGCAAAGGGCTATTTCAAAGTACTATGGAGGCTGAAGCAGATCTGAAATGGTAAAGCTGAGAAGATGCAATATGGTGGGTGGGAAGTCGGAGCCCCATTAGACCACACAGGCACACAAACACACCCATGTACATATATGTATTTATGTGTACTCTCACACACCTATGTACATACATGGTGCACTCGACCATGTATACCTGCACACATGTGCATTGGCACACATGTCCACACTGTCCTGTACATAGGCACACATGTCCACAGCACAAATGCACTCACACAACAACCTGCAAAGGCTTCCTTCTAAAGAGACAGCAAGGAGGTGGCATTCACCAAGCCAACAGCAACTTAGGAGATCCTAAGTCAGACTTCCCACATGACAGCCCTCAAAGGCCTCCTTGCCAAGGGTTAAGTCAGAACACTCAAGATGTGGGGGTACAGTGAGGGACACCATGAGACATCCATCATAGCGAGGCCAGGCTGCCAAAGGAAAGCCGTTAGTCTGCCTGAGTCCGCCGCTGCTCTCTGCTGGCTCCTGTTCAGCCCCACGTCTGTATTAGTCTGTGATTTGTTTAGCCTTTGGATTTAAAAGAATGGAGCAGGAAACAGGACACTCATCAGAAGCTGGGATCTGTCGCCTTTCCCTTCCAACACTTCTCGTGTCATATATCAAGAGGCCCAAGAGAAGTCAACATTTCAGGGCAGCCAGGTCAAAAGTGGTACTCTCAGCACCATTTACCACGACTTGGGTCTATAGGAAACAACTCTCCCTGGCGGCCTCAAGGCCTCCTCACCAGCTCCCCCTCTCAGTCCTTCCTGTCCACATCTGGCCAACCTGTTTTAACTCTCAGCTCAAGGCCCTTCCTTCAGTAAACGCAGTAACCATAACCAAAATGAGGCCTAAGCATCCACAAAGTCTGATCAAGATCAGACGGTCTTAAACAAGGCAGACTTATCTTTCTTGTCATTTCTTTCAATCATTTTAGCAACATTTCTTCCGTTCTTCTTCACTTCCCACCTCCCTCACCACCACCGCCACCGCCACCATCACCATCACCACCATCATCATCATCACCATCACCATCACCACCATCACCACCATCATCACCATCATCACCATCATCATCACCATCATCACCATCATCATCACCATCATCACCATCATCATCACCATCATCACCATCATCATCACCATCATCACCATCATCATCACCATCATCACCATCATCATCACCATCATCACCATCATCATCACCATCATCACCATCATCACCATCATCACCACCATCACCATCATCATCATCATCATCACCATCACCATCACCACCATCACCACCATCATCACCATCGTCACCATCACAACATCACTATTATCAACAATGTCGTGACCATCATCACCACCATCATCATCATCTGGGTAGGGAGGCAGAGAATAAAAAGACACAAGAGACCTACACATTGTAATTCAAGCTTCAGAATCTCTTGCGCCTCCTACCTGAATTGCAATCTGGTGCTCAATCGTTTTGTACGCAGAGTAATGAGCGTTGCCGGACTGAAAATGGAGCTGTAGGAAGAAACCAAACCAAAGCGTTCTGCTCATGTCACAAACCACAAGAAAACATCTTAAGCAGTTCATGAATAGCAGACAAACCTCTCCAGACTGAACGGCAGCCCTGGCATTCAGTCAAAACCTGGGGACTTCCATCATTATGGATAAGATGACCACACTAATCTGAATTGTTGCTTTTGTTTTTGTTTATTGGGTTTTTTGTTTTGTTTTTTTTTTTTTAAAGCACCCATTCAATAATCAAAAAGGGGGAGGAGGGGCAGGAATGAGAATGAGTGACACAAAAAGCAGAGACTGAAGCCCATAAAGACACAAAGGAAGCCAGTGGGTGCTGAGCAGAAGGCTAGAGAAAACTTAAGGGAGTTTGCAGTTTGCAACACATAGGCAAGAGTAAAGACAGAGCGAGGGAGGGCTGTGAGAAGCCACTAGCCTGCGAGTACAAGCCCCACCCCCTGTATCTCTAACAACTGAACCCTGGCTCTCAGACACAAATCTATTTCTGGGAAAACAAATGTCTCTGAGGAATTCAGGGGCCACCCAGCACCTTATACATTCTTTCACCATGACTAAGCCGCTAGATCCTAAGACACCTCCACAACCCATACTCTAATAATCTATACTTCCCCCAAAGAGAGACAAGCATTGCCTAAGAGCCCCAGGTTGTGAAGGGCCTACCATCTCTCAGTGACTCTCTGCCTTACTCCTAGGACCACAGCTCAACCCAGTCTTCCCCTCTACAGCCATACGCATGCCCCCAATGTAGAAGTGAATGACCCTACAAAAGCACCAAGACTCCTCCCCAAACCCTCCTCCTCCCAAATGATACAAGTTAACCTTAGGCTGCTACCCATTGGGAAAAACAATCACCATGGGTTGAGACGTTTTATAAATGACCCAGTATTCACAGAGGGGGTCTTAGCAGTTATCTGAACTGTATTACCATACTCAAACAGATGAGGAAGCCTCAGATGGCCAAGAGGAATCCCTGCCTTACCCTCCTACAGCAAGCAAGTCAAGGGTACCTCCTCCTAACACTTGGATGACATCTCCATTATAATCTTTAGCCCCACAAACTATAACCATGAATGCTTCAGGACTAAGTTACCAAAACCCTTCTGTGCTTCAAGTACCATCGGGGCTGCAGTGCAGCAGAGTTTCAAACTCAATTAATTTGTTATCTTGTACCCTGGAAAGAAAGTCATTCAATAGGGTGGGTCTATTTGCTCTTTTAAAAAGGAAAACGATTCCCATAAATTCTGAACTAAAATGTAACACTGTAGTAATACAGTCGAAACCCACATTAGTCAAAATGTAAGACAGCCATTTTTAGGATACAGTGGACCTGAAGAGGATATCAACAGTCCAAAAAAACCTAAGAATTATGTATGTTTTATGTAGCAAAACATACTAATCAAATTAAAAGATAAACTTGGGCAATAAAAGATAAAGTTGGCCAAAAACAACAATAATCTCTATACATTCCAAAGCAGGTCAATAAACCACTTCCTTCATACAAGTTAATATGGACAGAGTAAACTAAGTTTCCATGCACACAGCCCCCACACATTCAAGGAACCTATCCAAGGTGATTGGCTGAAACTAAGGTGCATTTGTACCCTTTGTCCCCCAATCACCCACTCTAGTAAGTGACGCCGGGATTTCACTCATTACTGTGACAATTTTCCATCATGTTAAAACAACTTTTGTATGGGGGACAGGTCTCTTTGCAAGTTTGGAATTCCTGGCGGAGAGAACAGCTCTTGTCTAAGAGGTCCTCTCTCCTCAGCAGAGCAGGCAACTGTAACAACTTGGTCCTTCCTTTCAAGGGTTTTATTCTCCTCTTTTCCAATTGCCCAATTCAGAGCTTAATGGAAACTTGTCCAAGCTTCTGTTCCCACAAACCCTGCGGAGCCCCAGGCAATCCGTACTCAGGGTAACCACAGGAATCTTACATTGTCAATTAAAACTGAATGGACACCTGATAACTTCGGATATGCCATGGAAAATAATTTCATGTAGTCATTGTCTTGTGAATAAATTAATGAAACTGTGACTATGCCAAATGCAATTTTCACTTGTCCAGCTCCATTCTTAATCCTTGCGTTCATCACATCCCTATAAGGCACCAATGAGCCTGGAGTGAATGGAGCAATTAAAATAGTGAAAATATGCACACACACACACACACACACACACACACACACTTATACATACACACACATATACGCACATACACACACATTTATACATACACACACAGATACACACAAAGACACACATTTATACATACACACACATACACTCAGAGATACAAAGACAAACATTTATACATACACACACAGATACACACAGACACACATTTATACATACACACAGATACACACAAAGACACACATTTATACATGCACACACATTTATACATACACACACACACACACACACACACACACACACACACACACACAGAAGTCTCTGAAGACGCTAGCAGAGAAACATGCACCAGGAACAAGCCAGTTCACCTCCAGGAAAGGGAGCCTGCACAGGCTGTGCTTGTGCACAAACCTTCACCCTCACACCACCCACACCTCCAAACGATGGAACTTCCTCAGGGTATCCAGCAGAAACCCTCTTACAAGCTCACAGACCCGCCCGTGCAATAGACTCCCTCAGAATCTAAGTAAGATTTCTCCCAGTCACCAACCACTGTGTTCTAGAGAATCCCAAGCCTAGACTACCTCCAGCGACAGCAAAGAATACCAAATGTTCTTGATTCTCCTTGGGGCTTCTACCCTCTCTTTCCCCCAAAAAATAATAATAATAATAATAATAATGCTTTTCTAAAAACACAGACTTTAACAGCTTTATTTTGCCTTCCCCATAAAACATGAAGAGACCTTGTTTGTTTACAGCCCTGCTTCTTAAAGATAAAATACAGATGCTCCGTAAGAACTTGGCACTCCAAACTGGTCTCTTGTTTGTCTGCCTCTGCCTCCCACTCCCCACTTACAGGAAAGGAGAAAGGAAAAACATGCTTAGACCTCTGTGTTTTGAAAAGGTACATGAAGACAGAAGTCCAGGGCAAGATGGCTTATGTCTTATCTGAGATTAAAAAGTCGGTATTTAACCCACTCAGCACAGGTCACCTGGAAGGCTCCAGGTCACTTCCTTATCCCATCGCTATAGCTTCCCTATGTGGGTGTGCCTCTCCCCTTGGACAGTCAGAATTCGGAGTCCTTGGTTCATTTCTTGCCTCCTAGGAAGCCACACAAAATGACACCTTCCCTTCCTAGGACACAGCAATCAAACACCCCTCCCCAGGCCCCCAGGCCCCCACCTGTCTAGAAGAGTCAGGAAGAGTTGGCAGTTTTAAGCAAATGCTTGCAACACTCCCCGACTAACTGCTTCCCTTATTACCCTATCTTGATCCTTCTGGCTTTATTTCTAATCACTACCACTGACTCAAAATTTGATGCTGCAGATACTGAAGATCAGAGATACCCAGGGATAGAAGAGGAAACAGCCTTTGTAACCACAGGCATCTCATGCTCCAAGCCACAAACAAAACAGCAGTCTTCAACTCGGAGAAGAGTAACTACTACACCAGCTCACTTCACTTAAGGGATGGGGTGGGGCATGAACTTCCTTTTCAGTTTTATGAATCACCTGTTTGCTCAAGCGTGCACGCACGTGCACACGCGCACTACACATATGTCAGATCCATTTCCTAAGTAACTTGGGTTTTCTTGGGCTCTTGGTGTGTCTTCTGTCTTTGTCTCACTGGAACTCTGATCCCTACATCACCCGATTCAAAGAAAAAATATTGTCATGTAGTTCAATCTGAGACCTTGCCTTAGAGCCACATCCTTTTGGGGACACTGAGGCAGCAATCAAAGATTATTTATGTGCACCGCAAACACACCTCACCCCACCACAACCACAGTCCCATGTGGACGCCCTTTTCATTCAGTGGGAAACAGACTCTTGCCCAGGACTTGGGGTGACTTCCACCCATCCTGATACTGCCTGCTTAAAAAGTGCCAAACAAGCCTCAAATTCCATCCAGCAGGGAGGTCCAAAAGCGTTTTCTAGTGGATTCTTGGTTTTACAGTCCCTGCGAAGATCCAGACAGAGAATCTTTGCAACATCCTAAAACCACTGTCTGACAAAGGCATTGCCTCCTCGCTTCCTGGTACTCTACCACAGGAAAACACACGCCACAGAACGCATGCCCTCAGACACTAGGACAAGCTCTCCCCCAGTCTCATCCTCCCATCATATGTCTATTTACCCTCATTAATTTCTAACCCCCCTTCCTCAACCTGAAACCATGAGCTATGAGTCAGAGCTGGATCGTTAACTTTTACAGCTTCCACACACATCCACCTACTCACATTTGGGGAAAGAAGTATTGACTTGCAACATTGCCTGAGACCAAAATCCTCTAAAAGGAAGACAGGGGGAGGGAGAATCGCTTCAAGAAAGTTTTCTCTACATCTCTACTGGGGGATGTTCCCTTCATTGTTTTTCTACTTGAGCTACAATCCCTGGCAAAGACAGGCCGGGGTTGAGCTTGGTGTTGATAGCTGTAGGCTTTTCTGGGTTGGCTTTTGAGGAGAGATAGTTGGTGTTCTTTAAACATCAAAACATAATTAAAGTTCTTCATCTGGGAGTGAAGCTAAAGCACGACTAGCACACGGGGCACGTGGGCTGAAGTGCTGAGGCTTGTTCTTTAGCACAGCAGTTTTCATTAACACTTGCTACAGAACACCCTCACAACGATGCGCCATCGTTACTCCACTTAGCAGTCCCAGAGCTACGGCTCATAACGAATTAATTTGCATTAATGTGGATCTCATGTGTCCTTCCATTGGTATGCCATTGCGATTCCCCGGCTCAATAAAACTGACATGGCAATAACACAGTGCCTCTTATTTCACTTTCTAAAACAAACAAACCCACCCAGGGACCCACACGGATCCCCTCCATTTTTAAGCATT